TCTCTCTGCTTGGGTGGTAATAAGACCCCGTCGAGGAGTTCTCGCAAAGCAGCCTAACTTCTTTCAACAGCCTCTGATGGTAATTATAGTAATCGAAGCTGCCATATATCTTTAAGCAATTACCAGGCGCGCACAAAAAGAGCCCCCCGGGGACGCTCGGCCGAGGGATGCTCCAAACGGTTTCCCAGCGCCGCCCGAGGCCCGTTTGTCTTTCCCGTTAGACTTCTGGGGCCTTTAAACAGGGGTTAATCAGTGCTCCGGTGACCTCGTGTCAAGTGAACGGGGTCCCGCGCTCCCTCCTGGCATCCGTCGGCGGCCCCGGAATTTTTCTCAGCCCAGCAGCCCCCGCTTGGTTGGGCGGCCTTAATGGGAAGAGGAACTGGGCGATGCTGCCCTCCCCACCCCTCATCACCCCACCCCCCCCCCACTCCAGGGCCACAACGCTGCAAATGCCAGGCCAGAGTCTGGGGCGCGCGGGCGGGAGGGGGGGGGAAATAGTAGGGATAGTAAGGGACAGGCCCCCAGGGTGGAGGAGCCCCCGTGAGCAGCCGGAGGAGGCGCGCCAAGAGCCCCGGCCCGCCCGCCCGTCTTGCTGGCCAGCCCGCCAAGGCCAAGATCCACCGGCGTTTCGTGAGGACCTTGTGGAACCGGGCCCTCCTCTCTTTCCTTGGCATCGGTGGGGCTTCAGAGCGCTCAGCTTTGACTGGAGGGGCACCAGGCCCAATAGCAGGCGATTGTATTCCTTCCTGTTTCGAAGCCGAAATTTTATGCCGGGGGGTGGGGGAAGGAGAAGTGAAGTACTTTCTACAGAGGGGAAGAAAATCTCGGAGTAAACAGGCGTGCGTGTGCCCCGCGAAAGGCTCAATGAGCAAGTGTATGTAGAACTTACACACATCCACGACCTGCCCACGACCTTGGGTAGGTCGCGTGTATATATATAAAATTATAGTTGAAACAAGGTGTAGCCTGTAGGCGTGAGAGCGACCAAATGGAGCAGAATCAACAGGTCTGACAGACAAAAATCGAGCCAGAAGTTGTATACTATCAGGAGCCCAGCAGGGCCTTTGGAAGATTCCCAGCCCGTGTGAATGCGATTAGTGCAAGAACGACCCCGTGGTTTTGTCTGAAACCCTGACCAAAATTAATGCAACAAGCAAAATGTAACACGACCGGGTGTGCAGGGTCCCAGTGCCGTTAAATATGTCTCTTCTTTTGGCAATCAAAATTGCATCTGTAACAGGCGACGCTGCAGAAATGTGCGTTTCCTGTTATTATATTATATATATACTTTTATCTCTAGAATATTTTTCCTCTTATGATTCCTCGCTCCCGGTGCTTTCTATGCAAGTGCATTCGGAAAAAGGAGATCAGAAAAACTTCCACCGCAGAACCTGAATCCCATATATTTATACTCCAAATTTATGTGAAAACATTTGAGAATAAGTCCCATCGAAATTAATGGAATTTATTTTAAGGGAAATAATTAGTAGGGATCCAGCCAGAAGCACGTGACGACACTTACTCCGGGATTAAGGCTGTAATCCTATATGTACACGGTTACCTTGCAACAAAGTCTATTGAAAACAATGAGATTTACAGAGTAGACATGTGTAGCATTCCACGGTAAAACCCCTTAAAATAAACGGGGTTGTTCCGAAGTAAGCAGCTAGCGGACCAAGTTTATACATTTATTTAATTAATTATAGCTACGGATACGGGTGATTTTTAAAATTTAATTTTATTGTTTTGTTTTGTTTTTTAAGTTTGCTGTTTTTTTATCGAAGTTCGAATTGGAAGGAATATATATCAGATATTCGTGAAAGGTCTGTGTTAGATTTTTCTCAACAGGCTGGAAGGATTGCCTCTTGTTGTTTACGTAATATTTTAAAGGTCAAAGTGCATATTAGTTCTCCTACGAAAATGAATGTGTATTATTTAATGTACACTCGTGTACATTCAAAATGTGTCTTAATTCAGTCGATTTAAGGGTTCCCGGCAAAGCCAAGGGCTGCGATTGCTAAGGCAGAGGGAGAGACCTCTCTAGAAGTAAGTTCGCTATTTATTTCTTACCGAGTCAGTTATCTCCCCCTGTAAATAAAGTTACACCTCCGGCCTAGTTTTTTCCCCCTCAGGTGTAAACGCTCTTGCTTTCGATGGGGTTTACTTCCCTGTAAATCTAGGGAGAAAATGTCAGCCCTCGATTCGCGCCCTGGAGCGGCTTCGGTGCCGCAGGTCGGGCCTGGGGCAGCCGCGGCCCTGCAGAGAGAGCAGAAGGCGGACGCTCAGCCCTGCCTTTGGACTCGGAAGGAAGTCTCGGTCCGTTCACCAGCCCGACTCCCGAGGAGAGGCGCCGGCGATGGCGGCGCCGACCGCGCGTGGATCGCGCGCCTTCTGCAGAAGCCCTGGAGCGAAGCCACGTCCAGGGTCGGTGGGAATGTCTTCCCCCCCCCTCCTTCCGGGCGCAGGGCATTTTCGGTAGGGTTTTGGGGGCCGGGGGCCTTTGGGACGATTTGTGGGGGGGCAGGAGTCGGAAAGCACACGGCGAGAGGAGGCGAGATCTCTGCAGAGGGAAGCGGACGCGGGTGTGTGTGTGTGCGTGGAGGAGTATCCCCGGGAAGGGTGGCTGGCCGCGAAGGCGGGAGAGAGTCGGGGCTGCCCGTAAGGAACAAGGGTTCTGCCCTCTTTCCTTGGAGCGATCCGAGCGCCAGGGGCTGGGCCCGCTGCGGGTCTTTGCCTTTTCCCCCATGGGGTGGAGAAAGTCTTCGAGGGGGCCGCGGGGCTGCAAGAGGCCGGAGAGGCGGGACCTGTGTGTGTGGATGGAAGGAAGGAAGGCAGGAAGGAAGGGGGGGCGCGTCGAGAGAGTGCTCTCCCCCGGGGCCATTGTGTGCGCTCCGAATTCCCATGCTACTCTTTTTGACGGGTCACTGGTGGCCCAATAGGCAGGTGGCAAGGAGGGCGTGTAATTACACAGCTCCAGAAGCCAAGCCGGGCTCTCGCGACTTTCCCGGAGATCGGCCACCTTTCAGCTTCCCCTCCCGCGTACACACACTCACACACGCCCGGAGCCAAACTTTCTTTTCCCGCCCCAGGGAGGTGCTACAGCATCCTCTCCTCCCCAGCCCACGAG